CTGCCAGGTCCTGTCAATTCTGCCTCCAGAACCCCCCTCCAACCCCTTCTCTCCACTCACACTCACTCCACGCCTCTACCCAGGTTCAGACCTTCCATCTCTTCCATCCCTTCTCCCCTGGACAGCTGCTGTAGCCTGCTGGTTGGGCTTCCTGCTTTCTGTCTCCCCCTTTCTCCAATCCACCCTGCACTCTGCCGCTGAATTAGTCATCCTAGAACACAGCCCTGACCACGCCGCTCCCTACTGCCTCTAGGATTAGATCCAAATGTATCAGCCTGGCTCTTCCACAATCTGGCTTCTACTTTCCTTGCCAGATGGATTTCACCTTAAGCCTCATCACCGACTCTGGACAAATTAGACTATCAGCGGCTTCCCAACCTTGATGCTCCTCCTTCGGCCCCATGCATTGGCACCAGCTCAGTGAGTGGGGCCCCGGTGCCTACAACGCCTCCTCTCCCTTACTTAAAACACTCCAGCCGCCACTCCGGCACCACCTGCTCCAAAAGCCTTCCCTCGTCCTCCAGGTGTTAGGGAAGCACTGTCTCCTGCCTCATATCACCATGCTCTTGTATTCCTCCAGGTAGAAGGTCATAATAATAACAATAATTAATAATTCCTCTCCATACCACAATGCCGGGGAGAATTCAACAACAAACAGGACAAGAACAAAATTGTTGCCTATAATTGCCTGGCCATGACTTTTGTTATTGTTGTTCAGTCATGTCTGACTCTTTGTGCCCCCATCTGGGGTTTTCTTGGCAGAGATACTGGAATGGTTTGCCATTTTCTTCTCCAGTTCATTTTACAGATGAGGAAACTGAGTCAGACAGAGTTAAGTGACTTGTCCAGGGTCACACAGCTAATAAGCATCTGAGGTCATATTTGAACTCAGGTCTTCTTACCAGTCAAGCCCAGTGCTCTATGCACCGTGGCACCACCTAGCAGTGCTGAAGGGTGAGGATACAAGAATTGAATCAAAAGGCCTTTCTTGGGCTGTATGCATACGTGGAGCAAATGGCTGAATCCTGTGGTTTTCTTTACAGAAATAGACAGATATAGGACAGTACTTAGGGTTAGGTTTTCACCACCAGAAATTACAAAGAGATGATCTTTTAAGAGCCCAGCTGTGCTGTTGCAAAGAAACAGTAGAAATTATACATGTATGCCCACAGGGTACAAAAATGTAATACCTAGAAAGAAATTATCATGTGGGCAGAATTAGATACCAGATGCTCACTAACCTTCATAGATTAACAGATGACAAATCCCTGAGCTACAAATAGAGACACCAAGCTATTTTTGAGAGTGCAACAAATAAGTTGTACTGGAACTAGAGTATTTTCACAGAAAAAACTGCTGCCCACTAGCGCCCAAACACAATGTTGATGCATTAATCATAATAATGATAATAATAGCATTTTATATTTTTGTATTTATTTTCTATTTTTATACTAGCATTTTATATTTTTATGTTTATTTTCTATTTTTATACTAGCATTTTATATTTGTATATTTATTTTATATTTCATAACAGCATTTAAATTTATTTTTTATAATGCCACTTTTATATTTGTATATTTATTTTGTATTTTTATAATAGCATTTTACATTTATATTTTACTTATATACTATTAATTGTATACATTTATAATAGCATTTTTACATTTATATTTTATATTTTTATAATAGCATTTTATACTCATATATTTATTTTACATTTTATAATAGCATTTTGTATTTTACTTTATATTTTTATAATAGCATTTTATATTTTATTTATATTTTATCTATGTTTTATATTTTTATGATAGCATTTTATATTTATATTTTATTTATACATTATATTTATTTTATATCTTTACAATAGCATATTTATATTTTTATAATAGCATTTTATATTTATATTTTATATTTTTATAATAGCACCTTATTTTTATTTATATTATTTTATTTTAACATTTACAAAGCTCTTTACCTATTTTACTTCATTTAATCCTTATGACAGCCCTTCCTGGGAGGAAGATGCCATTGTTATCTCCATTTTACAGATGAAGAAACTGAGGCACAGATTGAGTAACTTGTCCAGGATCACGTAGCCGGTGAATGTCCGAGGCTGGATTTGAATTCAGGTCTTCCTGACTCCAGATCTGGTGTTCTATCCCCTGTGCCACCATGCATACCGGTCTACTTATTGTCCGCCAACATAATGATCCATCTCTTTATCTGTAGCTTAACACTGTCTCCCCACTTTGTGACTTCTCACTGTTCCTGATGCTTAGAGTAAACCCTTTCTACCTCTGCTTCCTGGCTTCCTTCAAGGCTCTGATCAGCTAAATCCCACCTTCTGCAAGAAGTTTTCCCAGATCACCTTCAATGCTAGTGCCTTCACTCTGAGAATATCTCCAAATTATCTCTTTTATACATCTTGCTTGTATGTAGTTGTTTGCCTGTTGTCTCACCTATTAGATTTTACATTCCTTTGAAGTAGGGACTGTTTTTTACCTTATGTTGAATCTTAGTACAGTGCCTAGAACAAAGTAAATGCTTAACAAATACTTGTTAACTTGATATATCATCCTGTCTGACCAGTCTTGCTTTGTCTCCTTTGCTGGGTCTTTCTTCATCTATATCTCGCCTGCCCCCTCACTACAGGTATCTCTCACAGCTCTGTCCTGCGCCTCTTCTCTTCTCTCCATACTATTTCACTTGGGGATCTCATCACCCCCCACGTTTAAGTTATCATTACTATGCTGATGATTCTCAAATCTACCTTTCCTGCCGCAATCTCTCTGCTGACCTCCAATCTCCCATCTCCAACTGTGTCTCACACATTTAGAACTGAATGTCCAGCAGACAATATGTCCAATTAAACTCAATATGTCCAAAACAGAATTCATCACCTTCCCCACTAAACCTTCTCTCCCCACCTTCCCTTTTCCTGTAGAGGGCAACAGCATCCTCCCGTCCTTTAGGCTCACAACAAAGGAATCACTCTCCTCCATCCCCCATGTCAGATATGGTCCCAGGGCCTGTTAATTTCACAGTTGCAATATCTCTTGTAGATTTCGCCTCTGCAACATCTCTCCTGGACCCCTCCTTTCTTTCCTCTGACTCTGTCACTTCTCCGATGTGGACCCTCATCACCTCATGCCTGGACCATCGCAGTAGTGGCTGGCGGGTCTGCCTGCCTCAAGTCTCCCCGTACTTCAGTCCATCCTCCATTTAGCCACTAAAGGGATTTTTCTAGTGTAGGTCTGACCGTATAACTGCTAAAAGTTTATTTACCATATAAATTTATTTATGCAGTAAATTTCAGTGTCTCCTGTCATCTCCAGGATCAAATACAAAAATGCTCTGTTTGGTATCTGAAGCCCTTCATAATCTGGTCCCCCAACTACATGAGAGTGCTGAGTGGTGTTACACTGGGCCTGGCATCAGGATGATCTAAATTCTAAATACAGCCTCAGACACTTGTTAGCTGTGTAACTCTAGGCAAGTCGCTTAGCCTGTGTTTGCCTCAGTTTCTTACACTGTAAAATGGGGATAATAATAGCACCTACCTCCCAGGGGTTGTGGGATTTTTTTTAAACAAGTTGTGTGGGACAGAGACCACCTACCCAAATTAAAAACCACAGTCTTGACAAAAGTGCAAAAAGGAGAAATCTCCTTATTGAATACTTTCTCAAGAAAGGGCACCTCCGTGCTGCCTAAGCTGCCCCAAGAGTACAAGTGCTCTTTGTTTAAGGCAAGATTATATAGACACTAATGCAGCAGCCCATCCTAACCCACTTCCCGTCAGCTCATTGGCTGAGCCTCAGGTGTACAATCTATTCGTGTAAAAACTACTCCAGTAACAGAGAGAACAAAGAGGTATAGAAATTATGTTAGCATGTTCCCCTTTTCAGGGCCTCACAGTTTCAGCAGCCTTTTACCCAAGGTCACATAACTAGCTAGAGGATGAGATAGACAGGATGTTCTTATGGCTCAGGAGTTTAAGAGTAGGGGAGGGGGTCTCGTATTCTGAGGGGTCTTCACTTAGTGTTGGTACACATGTACCACTCAAAAGCAACAAACCAGAACCATTAACAAGGACTAATGACCCTTTGAGGAGGCTTCACTTCTGAGAGATCATCTCTCACAAAGTGAATGTTTGCAAAATACCTGGCACACAGCAGGTGCTTAATGTTTATTGACAGACTGTCTGCTACTGGACTTATCCCAGAGATATGAGTCCTAAAGAGGAGCTTCTATTGCAACCCTTTTAATCTAATTATCAAATATAGTCACTTTATCCACATACCCTATAGCCTATAAATATAAAACAAGAATTACAACGAAACAGGGGGTATTCGTTCCAGAAGTGTTTCTGTTGGAACTCCCTCAAAAATAAAAGATGAGAATGAGACGAATATGATGATGTTGATGACATCATAATCTGGCTGTTACCCAAGGCTTTATTTGTACAACTTTTAACATTTTAATTTTATTCTCATAATAAGGTAATACAGATACTATGATCCTCATTTTACAGATGAGGAAACTGAAGGCTTTCCTTGACATTTGTACACTAAACATATGGCTAGCACCGTTAAGACCACCCGACGTGACGTAAGATGATGTGTCTTTTTTTCCAGATCTTAAAGCTTTCTCATTGGTCCTTGGGCTTGAAGCACAGACACGTGAAGAGAGGGATAGTGGAGGGGGGGGTAAGCTGAGAGGTGCAAGCATGGCGATTGGCCAAGATCTGAACAAAGCCCGCCTCCGTATTCTTTCCATTGACTGACTGAAGAGTAAGGAGAAGGGAGAGGGCAGTTTGGGTTCCCTAGGATTGGACAGTTCTGAGAGGAACCCCGCCTCCTCCATGTTTCATTGGTCAGGCTCTCTGGAACACCGCCTTTCCCTGGGGGGAGAGTAGAGAAGGAGGTGGGGGGGCGGGCCCCGGTAGTATCCAGACACACGATTGGGCAAGAATGTGGCCGCGAACCGTCCATTGGAAAGAACATGTGTCTGTCTCAGAGTCCGGAAGTCGCGAAGGCCGTGTTCGAGACCATTGAGAGAACAACGCGAGGGGTGAAAATAGAATCGAGACAGAAGACCGAACCAATCCGGGCCGCTGGCCGGCTGAGGGTGAGACCCAAGCGGGATGGAGGCCGCGAAGTGGTTTACTAACAGGGAACAAATTAATTGTGGGGATCAGCAGATGAACTCGTCCTAGGAGAGGAGGGAGGGAGTGGGTTGGTGCAAGATTTGTGAGTGAACTTAGTTGAAAGAGGGGTGTACGTCGACCAATGGTTTAGTCCGGGATGGGGGTGGTGGCGAGGAACCGTTTGGTTGAGGAAGGGCGGGGAAAGCGACGAGTGGTTTGGCCCGGGATGGGGTGGCGGCGAAGAATGGTTTGATCCAGGATGGGCGCGGGGGGGGGTGGGGGGGAAGCGGGGAGTGGTTTGGCCCAGGATAGGGGTGGCGGCGAAGGATGGTTTGATCCAGGACGGGGGAAGCGGAGAATGGTTTGGTCCGGGATTGGGGGGGGAGGGCGGAGGTTGGGGGAATGGTCCTGGGATGGATTGGTCCAGGATAGTGGGGCAGGGAGGAGGTTGGAGGGACGGGAAGAAGGGGGAGGGGAGCATTGGTCCAGGAGTGTTGGAGTAGAGAATTAGTTCTAGGTGGGGAAGAATGGATTGGTCCAGAATAGTTGGGGGAGGAGGCAAGGGATATGGGGGACGGGATGGTTTGGAGGGGACTGAGAATGGGTTGGGGAGTTGATCTGGGATGGGAAAGGAATTGAGGGCTGGGGAGAACGGGTTGGTCTGGGTTAATAATGTGGGAGACAGGTCTTGGAATGGGGGAAGGGTTATGGGGGATGAAGAATGGTCCAGGATGGTTGGGGGGAGGGGGTGGAGGAGATAGGATGGGGGCAGGGAATGGGGCCAGTGTTTGAAGGTCACTGGTGGTGGGGGAAGCTGAGAAGGAAATGGAGGGGAGCAACGGTGACCTCTGTTTTCCTGCCTTCCCCAGCAGCAATGGACGAGTTGGATGCGGTGATACCTTCCCTGGAGCCCTTCAGGGTAGAGCAGGTGAGGGAGGAGCCTGAGAAGGGGCAGGCAGGCCCGCTTCCAGGTCAGCCTCACATCTCCGTCTCTCTGTCTCTCTGTCTCTCTGTCTCTCTCTCTCTGTCTCTCTGTCTCTCTCTCTCTCTCTCTCTCTCTCTCTCTCTCTCTCTCTCTCTCTCTCTCTCTCTCTCTCTCTCTCTTTCTCCTTCCCTCTGCCTCCCACACACAGGTTCCACCCATCATCTACTATGTCCCAGATTTCATCTCTGAGCAAGAAGAGACCCAGCTGCTCCGACAGGTGACGGCTGATTCCTGTCTCCAAACTCCTACACTTCAGCTCCTGGTCCCTTTGCTGTTCTTTTATTGTGGAAATCCATCTCCCACCTGTGTGCCTTTGTACAGGCTGCCCACCCCGCGCTCCCTCCCTTCCTTCCACAAGCATTTATTCCTTGAAGGCTCTTCCTGGTCCCCCTGGTTGTTAGCATTCTCTTCTCTCCTCACATTAGTGTGTGTACATATTTGTACTCTCCTTGAGGGCAGGGACAGTTCATAGGTCTCCTTTGTATCTCTGGCCCTTGCACAATGCCTGGCATGTTGTCATTGGATTGGGTCTGGCCAGGGTCATGCTGTGGTCACGCTTTGATCACCCCTGTTAGGTGTATGAGGCTCCAAAGCCCAAATGGACACAGCTTTCTGGGCGGAAATTACAGAACTGGGGTGAGTGCTCCCCTGACCCCCCCCATGAACACACACCCACAGGTGGGATCCGGAGGGAGAGGGTGGGTGTCCGGGGCTCTGGATCTCAACCCTGCCAAGCTACTTGGGCCTCGTCTAGAGGCCTTCTGTGGTCCCAGGAATGGCTGGAGAGACTCCCTTGCTCCCTGGGAGTGACAGGTCACATCCTTCTTCTGCCTCTGCCTTGATCCTCCCCAGGTGGGCTCCCCCACCCAAAGGGGATGGTCCCTGAGCAGCTGCCTCGGTGGCTTCAGCACTGGGTGGATACTGTCTCTAGTCTCGGCCTCTTCGGGGGTGCCCAAGCTAATCATGTGCTGGTGAATGAGTACCGGCCAGGAGAGGGCATCATGGTAAGTCAGAGCCCCTGAACATGTGAGTGTGTAACCTCCTCACACCCAGCCACTGTACCCACAGAGAGGGCATCATGGGAAGTCAGAGCCCCTGAACATGTGAGTGTGTAACCTCCTCACACCCAGCCACTGTACCCACAGAGAGGGCGTCATGGGAAGTCAGAGCCCCTGATTATGAGTGTGTAACCTCACACCCAGCCACTGTACCCACAGAGAGGGCATCATGGGAAGTCAGAGCCCCTGATTATGAGTGTGTAACCTCACACCCAGCCACTGTACCCACAGAGAGGGCATCATGGGAAGTCAGAGCCCCTGAACATGTGAGTGTGTAACCTCCTCACACCCAGCCACTGTACCCACAGAGAGGGCATCATGGGAAGTCAGAGCCCCTGATTATGAGTGTGTAACCTCACACCCAGCCACTGTACCCACAGAGAGGGCATCATGGGAAGTCAGATCCCCTGAATATATGAGTGTGTAACCTCACACCCAGCCACTGTACCCACAGAGAGGGCATCATGGGAAGTCAGAGCCCCTGATTATGAGTGTGTAACCTCACACCCAGCCACTGTACCCACAGAGAGGGCATCATGGGAAGTCAGAGCCCCTGATTATGAGTGTGTAACCTCACACCCAGCCACTGTACCCGCAGAGAGGGCACTATGGGAAGTCAGAGCCCCTGATCATATGAATGTGTAACCTTCTCGCACCCAGCCACTGTACTCACAGAGAGGGCATCATGGGAAGTCAGAGCCCCTGAATACACAGGTGTGTAATCTTCTTTGTACCCTCAGACAGTGGATCTCCTGACACCCTCTCCAGTGGGCATCCTCCAGGCCAGGTCTGCACAACCTGGGGCCAGCTTACAGCCGGAGGGCCACTTGCAGTAGGCCAAAAGATTTCCTCTTCATGCAAAGGATGTTTTCCTCTACATTTTCCGAGTGCTGCAAGTGACCTGAGGGCCCAGGTTGTGCAGGCCTGCCCCAGGCGCTCTCCAGACACCATCCTGGGGAGCTGCCATATCTGGGAGGGAATGAAAAGGTCAGACGGGCTGCACATCAGGGGCTCATCTTCATTGAGTTGATTCCAGTCCAGGGAGTGGATGAAAGAGAAGAAAGCCCCTAATGAAGCCTCCAACCTAGGGGGTGTAGGAGGAGAACTGAGAACCAGGGGAAGGTCCAAAGAGCAGAACTAGGGGAAGTGCTGGGGCATCTCTACTCAGCCGAGGGTGGAGAAGAATCTGGAAGGAGGAAGTAATCCTTAGGGTCAGGCCCTAAAGAAATGCCTAAGAGCTTAGTTAAAAGGGGATGGGGTGATTAGGTGACCTTTGAGAGTTGACTTCCAGGAGAGGGATGGGGGCCGGAAGGCAGATCCTAGGGGGATCAGAGGAGTCAGTGGTGGAGAAGTCAGCTGGGAGGGGAGGGAGAAGAAGGCTCCAGAGCCCGGGGAGGGTCTTCTGTTTTAGGCTTGGGAGACAGGGCTGCGATCTTAGGCTGAAGGGAAGGAACCGGAGGGACTGAAGGTGCCAGAGACAGGAGGTGACTGACAGGGCTGTGGCTGGAGCTACGGAGAGCCTGGACAGAGACCAAGAGACAGAAAGCCCTCTGGGCACCAGTGGAATGCCCACTCCTGGAGGGCAAGGCCTGTTAAAAAATGACACCTTACATGTAGTAACTTCTTTGATTCTCACAACAACCCAGGGAGGGAGATGCTCTTATGATCCTAGCTCTACAGATGGAGAAACCAAGGCACAGACCAGTTAAGTGATCACACAGTAATCATCTGAGGCAGGATTTGAACTCGGCTCTTCCTGACTGCCCACTGTGCCACCTAGCTGAAGAGTGGGCAGGGGAACAAGGAAGAACCTCTGGTTCTGGCCAGAGAGGACACTAGGAGTTCTGAATCTTGGGGTGCAGCTTCAGAGAGTGATAGTGAGGGCTTGGGGGGACCAGCTGGCTGGGGTGGAGTGCCAAGGAGACCCAGGAAATGTGAGGCCTGAATTGAAATCCCCAAAGCTGACGGGGGGCAGGAGGTCTGGGCGAGGCTGGCCAGGAAGATGTTGAGGCAGATGTATGCCCAAGTCATGGAGTGGTCAGATCAGTAGAGAGGCGGGGGGCATGGAGGTCAGAGGAGAGACTGTCCAGGGCTGTCAGCATCCTGTGGAGCAAGAAGAGAGGCCCTGAATGTGCCCTCCCCAGGTGTTCCCCTCGGGGAAGCCTCAGACATCCTCCCTGAATATGCTCGGAGTGCCCCTCCCATCCCAACATACCCACTGTGTGCTCCGTAGTTATTCCTGTAAGTGCCCTCCAGATAGACTTGCCCCCACCTGCAGGGTCTGAGGTCTGGGTCATGAGTTCCCTACTGTGGCTCTGCCTACCCCCTAGCCCCATGAGGATGGCCCTCTGTACTACCCGACGGTCAGCACCATCAGCCTGGGCTCCCACACCATCCTGGATATGTACCTGCCCCGAGGGCCTGAGTTGGAGAAGGACCTGCGTGAGGAGCAGGTGAGGGGCCAGCGAAGGGAGGGGGTTGGGACCCTCTGGAGCCCGCCAGGCCTGACGGGCGCAGCCTCCACCCTTGCCCTTTCTTCTCTCCAGCCCCAGCCTCTCCCCAAGTTCTCGCTGCTAGTGGAGCCTCGAAGCCTCCTGGTCCTCCGAGGTGAAGCTTACACTCACCTTCTCCATGGCATCCGCCCCACGCTGATAGACTCTCTGACTGAGACCCCTGTGGCCAATGCTGCTGCCTGCCCCTCAGCCCAGCCTGACGCCCTGCTGCCCCGGGGCACACGCATCTCCCTCACTATTCGAAGGGTCCCTCGAGTGCTCCGGACCAGCCTCTTGCTGAGCAAGAAATCCCTAAGCACCAAGTGAACCCAGGGATCTCCCGGCACCAAGAAGCCAGCTCATCATACAACTTTTCCTGTCTGCCTCAAGACTCCTGGCTCTGAGTCAGCAGAAAGAATTTAGGGAGAAAACAGCCCCATCCCAGTCACTGGGGAGATGATTCTGCCTGCCAAGTTCCCATCCTGGTTCAGGAATAAACTACAATTACCTCGAGCTTTTAGATTTATTGGGGGGTGGAGACCTTTATCCCTGCAGAGGCGGGGTTGGCAGCAAGTGCAGGTATCCTGAAGGAGGCTGGCACGGGGAGGTGGGCAAGATGCCTGCAGAGGCTGGGGTGGGGGGCAGACACCTGGTCACTGACAGAGGAGGCAGAGGCTGGGGGTGGAGGAGACCAGACACCTGGTCACTGAGGGAGGAGGCAGAGGCTGGGGGTGGGGCAGACACCTGGTCACTGAGGGAGGATGTAGAGCCTGGGGTAGGGGGGACCGAGAGCTTGAGTCCCTGCAGGAAGTGGACCTCAAGATCCCCAGGAGCCAGAGGGAAGGTCAGTCTTCAGGAGTGAAGGGGTTAACTTGCCCAAGCGTCACCTGAGCTGGGCATCGAGTTTCCTGGTGCTGGTTCCACCCCAGTTCGGGGGAGGGGAAGGGGAAGGGGAAGGGGAAGGGAAAGGTCTCAGGCCTCCCTGAGGAGACACCCCCGTCCTGGGTGAGACTGGAGATCCCTGTGAAGGGGCTGGTCCTTTTCCTTGGAGGATAGAAAGTTGGGAGATAGGATGCTTGGGTCCCAGGCGGGGGCACCTAGCAAGAAATGCCCCACCCCCTTCCAGCCCCCGTCCCTGTAGGTCCCAGGTGTCATCAGGGACCCTGGCAGCTGCCCCTCGGGAGGCTGGCACCCAGAATCCCAATTCTTTCCCCCTTAACTCTTGTATCCAAATTCCCCTTCTCGCTTCCTCCTCCCCGCCAGGCCCTCGAGGCCCCTCCTGGACCTGGACACCCTGAACCTTCCCACTGCCGCTCCCTGCAGCAGATGCCTGGACCTTGGCCCCTGCCGGGAGTAGCTGCTGGTCCTACCTGACGCTGCAGCTGCAGGTATGGTGGGGAGGGAGAAGAGGAGGAGATTGGCAAGCCGGCTTTCAGGTGGGAAGGTTTCGGGGAGAGGCTTGGGAGGGAAAGTCTAGGAAAACTTACAGAACTGGACTCCAGGGGGAGGATGGTGGATCTGTGCTGTGCCCTCAGGGTCCTTGGAGGAGATCTCCACACCTGTGACTGGCCTAGCTGGGACAAGAGGCTGACACCTGAGTCCATGAGTGGGTACCCCCAAACCCTGAGGGTGCAGGGGATGGGACCTAGACCTTTGGGCCTCCTGAGGGTTGGTTTAGGGACTACTGCTGCATACCTGGGTCCTCATGGGAGGAGATGGAGGCCTGGCCACTGGGGTTCTAGGAGAGTTGTGAGGGTGCTGCCCACTTGGGTCCCTGAGGGGATGGCAGCCTGTTCCAGATAAGGAAGAGAGGGGCTGGTGGTCCCAGACACCTGGGTGCCTGAGATGGTGGGCCAAGCCTATCCTGGAAGCGTGGGCCCATGTAGAGGTGCCAGCTGACCGGGGTCTCTCAGGATTGGGGGGAAGGACTGGTCTCTAGGAACTGGGTTCCCCCTAGGCCTTCCTGGTTAATGATCAGCCAGAAGCAGAGCAGGCCAGGGTCCTGCTGGTGTCGGGGGGAGGGTCCGATGCGAAGGAGAGAACCCTGGAGCACAGCCACCCTTGAGGAGGGCGGGCCGGCCCCAACTGCCCACTATGAGGGCATCTTCCGACGCCTCAGTCGGCATCGTGGCCGATTGATTGCCTACAGCCTGGTACGGACCACTGAGGCTCTAGTGCCTCCCCTCAGTCAGCTGTGATCCCTGACAGCTCTTTAACCTTGACCCCTCTCTGATCCCGGCCCTTCCAAATGTAACCCACTGGGACCCTGTCCCTGTTGACTCTTAGCATCATCTGCTTATGCCCTCCCCCTCCCCACTATAGCCATCTGTGATTCCCCCAGCCCCTCTGATCCTTGACCTCTGCTTCCAGGTGTTTGAGGACCCTGCCTCAATCCAGGAGCCAGACTCAGATACTGACTCAGATGGGCCTGGGCCTGGCCCAAGGGTTGGGATTGGGAGAGAGAGGGGTGGTCCCCCGCTGGAAGGTCCCACAGCCGAGCTGGAATGGGACCCCACTGGGGATGTGGGGTGGCTGGGTGCCCTCAGGAGCAGGAGAGTCTGGACACCGGGGTCTCCCTGTGAAGTGTGTGGACGTGCTGAGCCCCTGGCGGTGAGTGAGAGCTGGGCCGGGGCAGGGGCGGGGTGGTGGCCTCTCTCCGTCTCAGGAGTGTGGCCTTGGAGGGCCAGGGCCAGGGTCTGGGGCACACAGCATCAGAGGATGGGGAACGGGGCTTAGGGGTCCAGACTTCAGGACGGGTTCTTCTGGCTCAGCTCGGATACCCCACCCCTGAGAGAGTTTGCTGTCTTTTAGAACGGCCTCATGCAATGTCTGCCTCTCTCCAGTCTTGTCTCCTTCCCTTTGTCTCTGATGACCCTCCCCAGGGAGACCTTTGTCTCTCCCATAATCCTCCTGTGATGCCTTTCTATCTGTCTTTCCTGGGAGCCCCGTCCCCAGCTTTCTGATCCCCTGAGTCTCTGTCTCCGTGTCTGTCTGTCCTCTCTTCCTCTCCGACATTTGTTCCACTGTCTTTCTGTGGCTCTCCCTGGCCCTTCCCATATCTATCTCATGCAGGGGTGGGAGTGGTGGAGAATGGGGAAGAAAGAAGAGGGGAAAGAGACAGAAACAGAGAGAGGATGAGAGAGACAGAGGGAGACAGAGAGAGAGGGAGACAGAAACAGAGAGAGAGGGAGACAGAGAGAGAATGAGAGACAGAAACAGAGAGGGAGACAGAGAGACAGAATGAGAGACAGAGAATGAGAGACAGAAACAGACAGAGGGAGACAGAGAGACACAGAATGAGAGACAGAGAGAATGAGAGAGACGGAGACAGAAAGAGACAGAGAGGGAGATAGAGAGACACAGAATCAGAGACAGAGAATAAGAGAGACAGAGGGAGACAGAGAATGAGAGACAGAGAGAGAATGAGAGAGACAGAGAGAGAGAAGACGGCCTGGAGAAAGACTCTTAGAAGATCACTAGAGATTCAGGGGGAGAAGGGGAGGGCTGCCCTTGGGGAGCCCACATCTGTCTCTGCCATGTTGGGTGTCATCTCTCATTTCGTCTCTGATCCTGCACTGGGGGGGAGTGGGGATGCCAGTGATCTGACCCTTGGCCTGACACGCTCGGGGGCTCTGGACTGCGGAGAAGTCTTTCTGGATTTTCAGCTTCTGCACTTTTTGCTGCAGGTGTGGTCCCACAGGCCGTGGGGCCCCTCCCGGTCTTCTTTCCACACTCAGGACAGGGAGCAACCAAGCCTCCGAAACGTGACTGTGCAGATCCCTCTGGGCTCTGGGGGTCATAAGGAGGGGGGAGCTCGGCCCCGCTGGACCCGCCGGACCCTACTCTTCCTGCTGCTTCTGCTCCTGCTGGGGGTCGCATGTCTTCTCCCGCCCCCCGGGGGGCCTCACTGCCCCCCTCCTCGGCTCCGTGGGCCCTTGCACCTCGTCCTCAACTACGTCAACGGCCCTCCCCCAACCTGAGCCCCCGAGGGTCTTCTGAGGAGACCTCCTTTTCTTCCTCTGGATCCCTGGAATAAATGTTGAAAACCCAGCTTCCTGTAGAGTTCTTGGTATGTGAGGTTTCTACCTCTCCTCCTGACGCTTCCTGGCTCTGGCCACCTTCCAGGTGGACAATCCCTGCTTCCGTGCTGATAGGAAGGAGCCAGAAGGGCCGGGCCCAGAGGATACTCGTTCACTTTCAGAGGGGCCTTCTGGAGCCAGCGTTGCTCCTGGCTCACCCACCCACCTCCAGTCTGTGCCCCAGTGACACTTGTGTCCTCAGTGTGCATGCGCACACACACACACACACACACACACATACACACACACACACCCTGTAGGGATGGACACACTGCAGCCAGTGGGGCGCTCACACTAACCACATTTTGCGTCCTTGGTCAGGTTTGAGGCTTCCAGGGGCTGTGTGTGTATTATTACTCCAGGGCCCCTCAGTCACACGGCACTCACCCAGTAGCAGAGCTGGGCTCAGACTCTGGGCTGCTGATCTCAAGAACCACAGAGCCACCTTCTTCCTTCTACTGAGACCCCCTACTACGGCCAGCCAGCACCTCAGGAGCCTTGTTTGTGGACCTCGGGGTCAGTCCAGTAGAGTGGATGAGATTTACTGAAGGGAGACTGTTTGGAATTTGAGTGGACTTGGAATTAGGAGGGCCTGGGTTCAAATCCCACCTCAGACACATTTGTATAACCTTGGGTATGTCACTTGGACTCTGTGCCTCAGTTTCCTCATCTGCAAAATGGGCGGTTGGACTTGATGAACTCTTAAAACACGTTTTAGTTCTACATCTGAGATCTTTTATAGACATACCTGTCCACTGTGTGGCCCACTGCTCAGAGGATGCTAAGGAACCCAACCCAGGAGGGTCCTGGTTATATTATATTCTGCTGCTCCCATCAATGCAGGTGTCTGTGCTAGCCTGGGACCAGGCACTGGGACTGTTTGAACTTCAAAAACTCCAAAATGGCTGTGCCCTTCATATTAGCCCATAAAGTCCTTGTCAAGAGTGCCTTTTTAAATAATGGGGTTTTTCGTTTTTATATATTTACATATATTCAACATCTTGTCTCTATGTGTTAATCTACCTGATAGATCCATAAGCATTTATTAAGCACCTAGTGTGTGCCAGGGCATAGGAGCTGCAATGCACCTACTGCATTTCTGTGTACAGGCACAAGATCAGTTTATCCTTCTTTATGCTAACTAATGTGATGTGTGATGTATAAAAAGTTGGAGTGACATAGCTTCTGGGTAATTAATCATTTTATCATGCTAGCAGATAATTAATAAAAGGGGTCAGTGGCACTCTCGAATGCCAAAGACCCCTCATGGAACCCACTCGATGCTTATATGCCATTGGAAGAGTGGGTGTTCCTGAAGGACTCTGACTGGTTAACAATTAATGAGAAGAATGAATATTATAATGAGAGGTAGATTTATTCTGACGAGGAGCTGGGGCACAGACTTTGATCACTCAGTTTTGGACAGAGACATCTCTCGACCGGGCAACCCCGCATAGGGCAATCTAGAGAAAAGGGGGTCCATCATTTGTACTTTCTATGAGACCCCACTAGGAACAAACCACGAACCTAATTTCCTAGGGCTACCCAGTAAGCATAGCTCCTACCAGTCCTCAATGAGAAGGTTCTCTCTTGGCCCACCTGGAACAGTGTGTCTCCCTCCCTGAAGATGGCGGCCTGGAGGGTCTGCAGATCTTTGCCAGCCAATCAGTACTGCCTGAAAGCAAACATGGGGATGCTTGAGTCTCAAGCAGAGAAACACAGGGGTCAGAAGAGGAAGGGTCTTTGGTGGATTTCCAACAGTGCTAGCTATGGACATTAGCTGGTTAAACTCAAATTCTGACTGGTGATCGATTACCTAAGCTTATGGTGAAAGGAAAATATGCATCAAAGGTTACATCATTAGCAAGCGTTTTATTAGCTGTTTACCAGATCTGGGGAATACATCTCATTAATGTTTTACTAACTATGGTGAACATATGTCATTAATAGTTGTTTATCAAATTTGGGGCACATAGGCCATTATCAAGCTATACCCCTTAAGTCATCTTATTACAGAAAAGCAACTTCCATAATAATTAGTAATTGGCCAAATGGTAAAAGAGGTACACAACTTTACTGAAGAAAATAACTCCTTAAAAATTAGAATTAGTCAAGTGGGAGCTAATGACTCCATGAGACATCATGAAATAATAAAGTCAAAAGACTAAAAAAAATAGAAGAAAATGTAAAGTATCTCATAGGAAAAATAACTGTCCTGGAAAATAAGTTAAGGAAAGATGATTTAAGAATTATTGGAGTACTTGAAAGCCACAATCAAAAAAAGAACCTAGCTACCATATTTCAGGAAATTATAAAGGAAAAGTTCTCAGATATCTTAGAACCAAATTACCAGTATCAAAAATGGAAAGGGTGAAAGCACAATCATTGAGGATGAAATTAAGGCAATTATTAGGAGCTTTGTTGTCCAATTACATGCCAACAAAACTGACAATCTAAATGAAATAGGTGAATATTTAAAAAAAAAACATAAATTGCCCAGATTAATAGAAGAAGAAGTATAAAACTTAAACAATTCTATCTTTAAAAAAAATAAACTGAACAAGCCATAACTATGCTTCCTAGGGAAAAAAAAAATCCAGGACTTCATGGATTTACAAGTGAATTCTACCAAACATTTGAAGAACAATTAATTCTAATATTATTTCCAAATTAATTCCAAACTATTTGAAAAAATAGGTAAAGAAAGAGTTCTACCAAATTCTTCCTAAGACAAAGGTGGGAACCTGCAGCCTCGAGGCCACATGTAGTCTTTTGACTGAATCCAAACTTCCCAGAACAAATCCCCTTAATAAGAGGATTTGTTCTGTAAAACTTAAAACTCAGTCAAAAGGCCACACTCAAGGACCTAGAGGCCACATGTGGCCTCGAGGCTGCAGGTTCTGCACCGCTGTCCTGAATCATAAATATAGTTTTGACTCCTAAGCCAGGGAGAATAAAAACAGAGAAAGAAAACTAGACTAATTTCTTTAAAATGCAAAATTTTTAAACAAAATACTTGGCAAGATCATACATTATGATCAGTTGGGATTTACATCAGAAATGCAGGACTAGTTCAATACTAAGAAAACTATCAGAGTAATTCACTATATCTATAACAAAAACAACAGCGGGAAGAGATTGAAAGAGAAATTCCGTTTAAAATAACTGAAGACAGTATAAAATATTTGGGAGTCTACCTGCCAAGATACACACAGGAACTATATTAACACAACTGTAAAGCACTTTTCACACAAATGAAGACAGATCTAAACAGCTGGAGAAATGTTCATTGTTCAAGGATAGGCCAAGCCAGTATAATAAAAATGACAATACCAACTAAATTAATTTACTTATTCAATGCCAAACTACCAAAGAATTATTTTATAGAGCTAGAAAAAATAATTTTAAAAATCATCTGGAGGGATAAAAGGTCAATATCAAGGGAACCAATGGCGAAAAAAATTAAAGGGAGGAGGTCAAGTAGAACCAGATCTCAAACTATATTACTAAGCAGTAATCATCATAGCAATCTGGTACTGGCTAAGAAATAGAGCAGATGATCAATGGTATAGATTAGGCACACAAAAATGACCACAGTTGGATACATCTAAAGATCCCAGCTATTGGGGCAAGGATTCACTATTTGACAAAAATTGCTGGGAAAACTGGAAAGCAGTCTGGCAGAAACTAGGCATAAAGCAATACTAGCACCTATCTCTCAGGGTTATTATGAGGATCAAATGTGATGATTATTGTAAAGGGTTTATCACAGTGCCTGGCACATAGCAGGCACTATGGAAATATTAACTATTATTAGTTATTATTATACCAAGATAAGTTAAAAATGGGTTCATGATTTAGATTTAAAGCATAAGCAAATTAGGGGAGTATGGAAATATCATTTGTCAGATCTATGGATAGGGGAAGAGTTTATGATCAAACAAGAAATGGAGTCACGGGAGGTAAAATGGATACTTTTGATTACATTACCTTAATATGGTTTTGCCCAAACAAAACCAAGGCAGCAAGGAAGAAAGACACGGGGGGAAAATTTTTTACATCAAGTTTCTCTAATAAAAGTTTCATTTCTCAAATATGTAGGGAACTGAGCCATATTTTTTTAAAAATTTTATTAATTTATTTTGATTTATCAATAATCACTTCCATATGCTTTTGAGTTGAAAATTTTTCTCCCCCTTCCTTCCCCCCTCCCTCCCCAAGACGGTGCACAATCTGATATAGGCTTTATATTTACACACCCATTAAACATACTTTCACATTAGTGAAGTTGTAAGTAAAAATTAAAACCAATAGGAGGAACCATCAGAAAGATGAAACACAACTCAACAGAAGGTAAAAATAAGTGATAGCGATTCGACTTCCATAGTTCTTTCTTTGGATGTGGACAGCATTTTCCATCCCGAGGCCTCTGGAGATGTCTTAGATCCTTGTAATGCTGAGAAGGGTTAAGTTTATCAATATTAGTCATCGCACAACGTGGCTGTTATTGTGTACAAAGTTCTCTTGGTTCTGCTCACTTCACTCAGCATCAGACCATACAAGTCTTTCCAGGTTTTTCTGAAGTCAGCCTGTTCATCATTTCTTAAAGCACAATAGTATTCCATTACATTCGTATACCACAACTTGTTCAGCCATTTCTCAACTGATGGACATCCTCTCAATTTCCAATTCTTTGCCACCACAAAAAGAGCTGCTATAAATATTTTTGTACATGTGGGTCCTTTTCCCATTTGTATGATCTCTTTGGGATATAGCCCTAGACATGCTATTGCTGGGTCAAAGGGTATGCACATTTTTATAGCCCTTTGGGCATAGTTCCAAATTGTTCTCCAAAATGGCTGGATCATTTCACAACTCCACCAACAATGCATTAGTGGGGAATTGAGCCATATTTATAAAAAATAAAAGTCCTTCTTCAATTGACAAATGGTCAAAAGGTAGGAATAGGTAG